GGCCGACACGCAAATCACAGCGTATGGGTACTGACGCAGAAGTTCAACTCGGTGTTGAAAGACCTAAGGGAGCAGACGCGATGGGTGGCCTTATTTCACTGCAAGGACAGGGATTCTTTCGAAGAGTGTTTGAGAGAGAACGATGTGATGAGTAAATTAGAACGGGAACGGGTGAAGAAACAGCTCGCTGAAACTAAACACGCTAAGCTCGTGCTCAAGACCGATCAACCAGTAGCCTATAGGGTGTTTTAGCTTAGCAATGCTCAGCAATGCTTAGCAATGCTTAGTAAATGCTTAGCAAAGCTTAGCAAATGCTTAGCAATGCTTAGCAATGCTTAGCAATGCTTAGCAATGCTTAGCATTTAGTTATAGCTATGATATTTGAAGTGTGCGTCGTGTGCAACTTAACCTTCATTTCGCTGTGTTTTGCCTGCATTGGGTATTATATTGTTAAAACTAAAACTTACTTGTTACATTATAAGATGGAGTGTGAGGAATTGCTTGAACAATTGTTGGTACCCCAGTCACCCCAGGTGGATGATGATAAGCGAGAGAAACTGGTGGCGTTGGCTGTTGGTGGCAAAGCCAAACATTACTTTGGAGACTACACTCATGATAAAATTCACAAAATGTCAGCCGAAGAAATCGATAAGCTGTACTAGATACGAGTCCCGGCTCGGAGCAGAAATGACAAAGACAATAGGATCGACTATGACCCAGATATACACTGGTATTGCGTCGTACTTCCTTCCCATCCCCCCAGAGCGCCGACTTTACTTGTGGGAAGACCTCGAGAAAGACCCTTTTATCGAACACGCCTTGAGCTCTATTAGCTGCGAGCTGTACCACAAATACGGTATGTTGTTAGCCCCAGTGACGGCGGCGATTATTACAGCAAAGCATTGTCAATTTGAGAGGAAAAATAATAATAATAGTATAGATGGATGCTGCACAGGAGACACCACAACTGGAGGAAACCCCCACGTTGGGGAAGCCCCAACAACTGGAGGAAACCCCCACGTTGGGGAAACCCCAACTGGAGGCGACCCCTTCACAGGTGGCGGTGGAGACCCCAAAGTTGGGGGAAACAGTAACCAGGCAGAAGAATCCTAAGAGAGTAGCTGCCGGTAAAAAAACGGTGGTGTAACCAACATAAAATTATCAGGGTGACTCACCCGGAGCGACTCTTGTTAGTTGTATGCGCAACTGCTGCCGTGGCTATCTCATGGTTATATACACGACACAGGAATCCCAGGGAGGGAGACCCACACAGTGAGGGAACCCCTCACAGGGAGGGAAACCCTCACCCACAATTAGAGGTCGACCCGCATATCATGTTATAATTTAATATTTTTATATCATATACATAATGTCTGAGGGGAAAACGCTCATCAACGACGCGATACCACGCCACAGTGGTCGCCAGTCTAGCCAGAGGGTACGCCGGTTGACCAAAATGGTGCTTAAACAACCAACTATCAAGCTAGATTTCAACCTACAGGATATGGGTATGCTCATAATGAACCTTGGTATGGCGATGGCCACAAAAGACATCCTAGTAAAACAAGGGATAATACCTGAAAATATTATGAAGTAAAGATGGCCACGATAGCTATGATGGTCGGTGGTGCGTTAGTGAATGCCCTGGCATTTTCCGGGAGTAATTTCCTCTTCTCGAAACTACGAGAGTCACACGCGGCTGAAATACAGGCAGAGAGGAAGCGGCACGATCTCGCTATTGAGAACTTACAAACAGCACAGGCTGAGTACGCTAAAAAACGCCTCCAGAGGATCGATTACATTAACGAACAACTCAGGCGTGAAAACCATGCCGTTCAAACATTCCACGATGTCGACGACGCAGCGAAAGAATACTACTTACTAACTGGTAAACGGTTGGAACCACTCAATAAACCCACACTCGCCAGTACTACACACCATCCAAGGGCAAATGGACCGTGAACTGGGCTTCATAGCGCTGGGTATAGCAGCGACCGCGCTTGGTTGTAAACAATTAGACTAAATACCCATATAAGTATGCTAAACATGAGACCTGCTCCATACCGATGCTAATACATACTTATGGGGAAGACCGAGGCCTGTGGTAGGAAATGCAGGACTCAGGGTACTGTTGTTTCCACATGGGAAGCCCTAACTACGTGTGTTCTGTGTGCGGTATAGGGGTTAAAGGGCACTACTGTCTATGTAAAGCTCACGGGCTTAACGAGTCAGACATCACCTCATCTACGAGAATAAAAAGGCCTCCATAAAAGAACGAGGCTTAACTTCTCAAGATAGCAGTGTAGTGTCCCAATTAGAGATTATACACACCTACGATAGCTATGTTTGTGGAAATTGAGCCCAGGGAAGGTTGCCTGAGCAGCTGGCAGATGGATGTGGGGAAAAGTATAGATATTAGTGTCCTCAAACCCATGATTGTTAGTGAACTATATAGGGGTGCTCGTTTACAATCATTGTAAAGTAGGGTTTGATGTGCCATGGGCTGGGCACACTTGGAATTACTTTGATGGGGCGCAGTAGATGTGCATGGGGATATAGATATACTTGTTGACGCACTTCGCTGCAAGTAATACAAAACACCCTACTATGCTGCGCATATTCCGGTGGGTTGAGGGAATAATCGATAAGGTGTATCTTGATTTTTACCCACGATGGGCCAATTAGACATTGGTTCTCTTAGGTGTATGCGCAATTATGACCACTGTTGGTGAACTTTGCCGGTCGCCAGGCAGCGAGGTGTGATCGGTATTCTCGAACGCGAAGCCAGCATTGTTGAGATTACTAGGTTTAGAAGCCCTCCCACGGTAAAACAATTAAAAGCTCAAGCAAAACAGCTTGGATTCACGGGTTATTCAAACCTGGGGAGAGCCGGGTTAATCGCATTGTTATCACATACCCCCGTAGCAAAACCTCCCACTGTAAAACAATTACAAGTCGAGGCACGTAATTTGGGTTTAGGTGGGTATTCCCGAATGAGGAAACCACAGCTTGTAGAACTATTACGGCAGAATAGAGCTATTGACCTACAGTTCATACCCACTGAGCGCGCTGTAGGCAACTATTTGAGAGGCTGGCGCATGCATATTGATAGGAATATAAACATTACTGATATCAAGCCTCTGATAGCTGATAAAATAAACCAGGAACTAAACAGTCTAGGAAGTATCAAATTTCAAATCACAGTGAAAATGTCGCCGATAAGCAAGTGGGGAGGTGTCACTGAGTAATGCTCAGCCTTACTCCGTGGCAAACAACAGGTCGCGGACCCATATAGAGACCATTGACGATCAATCGATACTAGTTTTCAGCAGATGCGGAATACCTAGAACGCCTACACACACCTGGGGTCTGGGTGGACTGTAGATAAAATCGATAATGTCTATCTAGACATAGCTAACTACGTGCCGCTCAGAGGCGGGTCATACCTAGACTTGCCTCCCTACTATAGGAAAAACATGCCATGGTCAATGTCAAGAATAGAGGAGACGATTGCCTGAGGGTAGCTATCAGGTCAGCCTTGTTTCCAGCTGACACTCATTCAGACAGGCCTTCTAGCTATCCCCAAGACGATGGGCTCAACTGGGATGGTATAGATGAACCAAACCCCATATCCCAGATCACTAAAATCGAAAACAGAATAATCTAGCTATAAATGTTTTGGGCACGAAGGTAACACAACAATAGTACACAGGGTCAGTCCGTTGGGGGGGCCCCAAGGGGGGAAACCCCTTATCAATATATTCATGATTCAGCGAGGTGACAAGTATCACTACACATGGATAAAACACTTTAGCAGGCTGTTGTATGACCAATCAGCACACAGAGAAAAGACCCACTTCTGCTTAACGGTGCCTACATGGCTTCACACGAGCTGATTTATTAGAATCCCACCGAGGATTGCCAAGGTGTGGGGCAGACGGCTATATGAAGTCGACATGCCTAAAGAAGGTGACAATATCCTAAAATTCGGTAACCACAAGAACCAAATGTCTGTGCCTTATATCATATACCGACTTTGAAGCCTTGGTCAAACCAGTTGAGGCTGCCGGGCGGGCTCCCACAGGCGGGTTGTTGGGGTACCCCAACCACACTCAAAACACAAGAGCATGAAGCCTGTGGGTTTGGATACATTGTCGTCCGCTGTGATGGGGAAACGAAAAGCTCCGGTAGTGTATAGGGCCCTGACGCCGCTGAAAGGTTTCTAAAGTGTTTGCAGGAAGAAGAAAAATTATTAGGAATGCACTGTATAGAGTCGCCCCATGCATGACCCGAGCCGACAGGCTAGCTCACGCCTGTAGCACTAACTGTCACGCGTGTGTGACTCACCACTGAATGGTGATTCTGTGAGAGATCACTGCCACGTAACCGTAAGTATAGAGGCGCCACACAGCAGCTGTAACCTCCAGCTTAGAATCATCCCTAAGACAATAAACATCCCCGTGGTCTTTCACAACTTGAGAGGGTACGACTCTCACTTAATCATGCAGGCCATCGCGAAAATCGATGGTAATATAACGTGCATCCCCAACAACATGGAGAGATACATCTCCTTCAGCTTAAACGGCCTTAGGTTCATAGATTCAGTGCAATTTCTATTGTCTTCATTAGACAGTCTGGTCAAGGCCAACGATACCTTCCCTATCACCGAATCGATACACAGACGCCGAGACTAGACCCCTGCTTATGAGGAAGGGTGTGTACCCCTATGAGTACATGGATAGTTGGGTCAAGTTCGCCGAGACCAGACTACCCCCCATCAGAGAATTTTACAGCAATCTGACCGACTCAGCAATATCCCAAGATGATTACTCACACGCTATTAATGTATGGAATAAACTGGGTTGTAAGAACCTGGGGGATTATCACGACCTGTACTTGAGGACAGATGTACTGCTGTTAGCCGACGTGTTTGAAACGCTTAGGCGGACGCGGTTTCAAGCAGTATAAACTCGACCCGCGATGGTATTACACCAGCCCAGGTCTGTCGTGGGATGCCTTGCTTAAAAAGACCGGAGTTAAATTGGAATTGCTTACAGATTATGACATGCACCTATTCATTGAGAAAGGCTTGCGAGGTGGGATCTCCATGGCAACCAAGCGATACGCGAAAGCAAATAATCAATACGTGAAGGGCTATGACCCTAGCAAGCCAACCAATCACATTCTCTACCTCGACGCCAACAACCTGTATGGCTGGGCCATGAGCCAGTATCTACCCACAGGGGGTTCGAATGGGCCACAGGAGGTCGATGTTATGAGCATCGCACCAGATTCAATAAAGGTTATATCCTCGAGGTTGACTTTGAATACCCCAAGGCATTACACACATCACACAACAGCTACCCCTGGCCCCGAACGTATGAGGGTTAACCCAGACTGGATGTCTGAGTACCAACATAACTTATTAGGTGGGCGGGTGGCAGACGTTGAAAAACTCGCGGCCTAACTTAATGAATAAGACCAAGTACATCGCTCACTATCGCAACCTACAGCTGTACCTGTCGTTGGGTATGAGGCTGACCAAAATACACAGGGTGCTCGTGTTCAACCAGAGCCCTTGGATGGAGCCTTACATCAGAATGAACACAGACCTCCCAAAAGCTTGCAACCAGTGACTTTGAGAAAAATCTCTACAAGCTCATGAACAACTCGGTGTTTGGTAAGACTATGGAAAACCTGAGGAAACGCGTGACCGTGAAGCTGGTTCGGTCGAATGAGGAAGACAAGCTCAGGAAACTGATAGCCAGTCCGCTTTCAACCGTAGCAAGATATTCACCGATGACCTAGTTGCCCTACACATGAAGAAAAGCCACATAAAATTCAACCGCCTGTTTACGTGGGGATGAGCATCCTCGATTTATCCAAACACCTGATGTACGACTTTTACTACAACGAGCTTAAGAAACAGTACGACGACAGGTGTGAAGTGCTGTACACTGACACGGATTCCCTGCTGATGGAGATTCGAACCGAGGACGTGTACGAGGACATGAAAAAACACCTCGATTTGTATGACACCAGCGACTACCCCAAGGACCATGCCATACACAGTACGGTAAATAAAAAGGTCCTAGGTAAGATGAAGGATGAGTGTGCTGGCACGCCCATAGCCGAGTACATAGGGTTGAGGCCTAAGATGTACTCCATACTGAAGGCTTTGCAGAGGCTTTGGTTGAAAGTGGTCCAGAACCCCCATTGTATATACTACTAAATTAGTGCCAGTTAAAATAGGATTAATAGTAATTGCCCTGTCTGGTCATTGAAGGACACACCCCATTTTGTATATTCTGTATTTGATAGGCTAATTTAGGTTACACCCATTTTTGTATCAGTCAACTAATCATAATCTCTTTATTGTTTTAATTGTAGATAAAAAGTCTCTAACTACATTTGTACATCAGTAGGGTTTAGACTCCCAACACAGGTCAGCTCTAGCCCTCAGTCCAGAGGGTTGTACCGACTCTCTGTGGCCACCCCATGTTACTTTGTTCTTGTAAATAAAAGTGTGATTAGTTTCTTGTGACTTCGGACTCTTTTGCTGAGTTAATTCCCCCAAGCAGACCAGCACGCCAGTTAGATAATGTGTTTCACCGGAACCATCACTTGGACCCAAGACCCCTATCATAATACTGGTAAGAATAGGGTCTTTCCCAATATATATTCCTTGCTTACTGATTACTGTTGCAAGTTCTGAGCAATAACCTGTTTTAGTTCCATGCCGAAGATGTAAGTCGTTTCTAAGATGTATTAGATGTATCATTGGGACAGTTATATATTCTCCACGGCTGGGATTGATCCCATGTGTAATCACAGAGATCGGATGTATAAGGTCTGAGTGATTGCATAACAGCTGAAGAAACTCTTGTTTAAAATCCTGCTGACGAGAGATGTCTTTGATCCATACATGTAGGTGGAGCTGTTGTAGATTGCAATGGATGGAACTTGTCTGACTTAAGCTGTCTGAGAAGTATAGGTCACTGGGGAAGAAGTAATGGTAGATCTATCTGTAGCGACAGTAGGTATGGTAACTCGATTGGTCAGCCATGCTGTGCCATTAGGAGCATTGTCATGTGATGGTTCCAGATCTTGGTTAGGCCTTGCCAAACATGTGCTGTTGGTAGAAACACATAGACAATCATTCCCTCACCAGATATTGACTAAGCATCTACTGCATTAGCTTGAGGATCTGGGACTGGATATATGTTACAGTCAATGTGTAAAATCAGGCAATTTGTAAATTGCACTGTTTGGTACTGATGCCAAAGTTGGTCTTCGAGCAACATCTCCTCCAAATGAGATCCTTGAGAGTGAGTGAGTGAGTTTAGTTTTATGCTGCTTTTAGCAATATTCCAGCAATATCTCAGCAGGGGACACCAGAAATGGGCTTCACATATTGTACCCATGTGGGGAATTGAACCCGGTTCTTTGGCATTATGAGCGAACAATTTATCCACTGAGCTACGCCACCACCCCAGATCCTTGAGAGACTTGTGACTGACAATGACCTGTAAGTGGCCCACCAGTCATGTCCAGACCTCTAACGCATTGGAGTCCGTTCTGGTGTGTGGAAGGGACGTTATTGCCGCAATCTGTTCGATCTCTGTACACAAAAACCTTACACTATGGATGACATCTCTCGTGAGAAGGAAATTGTCTACGATTAGCTGTTCAAGGAGAATCCAAATGTGGTTGGTAGGGTTTCACCAAATGCAACTGTTCTAGGAGTGGCAAGTAGTGTGCAACCAACAAATGCAAGTGCTTTAAACCTGGAGTCAAATGCAACAGCAAGTGCCATGAAAGCCTCACTTGTGCTGTAGGGAAACTGGGTTGAACTGTAGTGTAAGTAGGGGGCAGGGCGTTCATAACAGGATATTTAGACAAAATTTACCATTTATAGAATAACTGTGTACCAGACAGTCTTGTAGCGCATTGTTTTACTTGCTCTACTACGGGACAATCTTTTGTCCAGGGTTACTGTTCATCGTAGCGTTAGATATACTGGGTAGGAGGCCACATGGGTGCCACTAACTATGTTGGGTAGGCACTGATTGGCGGAGAACTCTGACCCGTGTCAAAAGTTCTAGAGCGCTATAAAAGTGACCTGGTTTTCTGGATTCAGTTGTCTAGCTTTCAGTCATCTGAGCAACATCAGGTAATATCTCCTAGTAGTACCGATGTCCCGAGGTCCTGTTACAAGATCCTTCCTCCCTGTTATAAAGAGGGATGCTAGGCATTATAAAGGGATGTTAGGTTTCTTATACTAGTGTTAGGTCGGGTTGGGGGAAAATTAGCAGTAGGAAATGGAGTAGGATTTAGGTTGTACATTGGGGGTAATCTTCGGCTAAAAACAGGGTTGGTTTGGGTGGTTTTATATGAGAAGTTTAAGGGATTCATTTGCCCGAATCGATTGTTATAGAGGTATGTGAGAGAGAAAATTGTGGGTGGCATTTACAAGTTGTTGAGTTTTTGTTTGTATTTTTTCTACCTCTTTCTTTGTAATAAACTACTATTGTTCAGTTTGTCTTTGTTATTTCCCAATAGGCTTTATGCCCGATTTATGAAGTGGTCACTGAGTTTTGAGTAGAGAACAAGTCAACCCGAACGCACACCTATAAAATAAAAGTACACAACACAAAGTCCAAGAAAGGTTGATTCAACATCATGTCCCTACATATTACTTAGCTTAACTCAGCTGTCACTGGGCGAGGGTAGTTTATTGAGAACCACGCCTATTACAGTGCAAACAAAATGTGAGCAAACAATGTTACCCAATGCTTTTTTTATATTTTGAAAGATTGTAGACCTTACTGGTATATGTCTGGCTGCTATGCTGCACTGCAGACTGTCCACCAGATCATAAAGTTCCTCGTAAGATCCATAAGGTCTTGAGAATGGGTGTTGATATAGGCCAATACTGTTGTGTATTCATGGCAACTAAGAGTGAGGAATTCCTGAGCATCGATTTCCAGTGGCTGATTGCTAATATTACTGCTCTCACTTCCAGTATGTTGATATAAACCCAGTGACCTGATACCTTCATGATGGGCTTCCCGTGGAGGGACAGGGATCTGGTGACTGCATTCTGATTGGCGCCCTGTGTATGACATTTCCATGAACACTGGGTCTGTAGGTGTGATGACAGTATCTAGTTGTTGATGATTTATCCAATTCTGAAAGTGCCTGAGATGCAGACATCCTCTGAATGTGAGATCCTGCATAGATGTTAGCTTTCTAACCCTGGGTTGCAGTTCAGATGTTAAAAACGATGCCCTAGGAACCCCAATTTTCTGAAGACATCCTTCAAATAAAGGGAGTCATCTAAAACCTCCCCTATGTTGATGATTGGAGGTGGTCATCTCGGGTATTCCCAGTTGAGGATCTTCAGGTCAATAAACATCCTGCACTCTGTTGAATCCTTCTTTGGTACCAGAAATTGCGGAGAGAAGAAACCACTGTCATCGCCGATAAAAGCTTGGGCTCATGAAGGTGATATCAAACCCCCACTGGGTATGTCATCAAAGGGGGTCTCTTGGAGAATTGAATGACCTTTAGAATCCACTGGTCTTATGATCTTCCAATTTCAACAGGACCTTAAACACCTTCACTGGAAAGCCTGGCATCTGTTTCTGATATGTCGCTGCTGTTGCTGATATCAGGAGATCTAGAGCAGCAATGAGACCTGGGACCAGACTTGGAAACTCTTGCTGGGATGGACTTTTTATATCGTCTGGCTGGTGACTTGGCCTAGCCATCAGTGTTTAGTCTGAGGTTGATGCCTCAAAACCTCTTCTGCAGGCCTTGTGTGGCCTGTTCCCTATGAGGCCCCTGATAGTAATCTCAAGTGTGAAGAGGACCCCTGATTGTAATCTCAAGTGTGAAGAGGACCCCTGATTGTAATCTCAAGTGTGAAGAGGACCCCTGATTGTTATCTCAAGTGTGAAGAGGACCCCTGATTGTTATCTCAAGTGTGAAGAGGACCCCTGATTGTTATCTCAAGTGTGAAGAGGACCCCTGATTGTTATCTGAAGTGTGAAGAGGACCCCTGACTGTAATCTCAAGTGTGAAGAGGACCCTTGACTGCAATCTCAAGTGTGAAGAGGACCCCTGACTGTAATCTCAAGTGTGAAGAGGACCCCTGATTGTAATCTCAAGTGTGAAGAGGACCCCTGATTGTAATCTCAAGTGTGAAGAGGACCCCTGATTGTAATCTCAAGTGAGAAGAGGACACTGAGAGTAAGACTCTGTGAAATCTCCTGTCCTTGGCAGAACTTCCAATAAAAAGTTGGCTCTCCAGAGGCTGGGAGTAGAGCATGTTGCATATGCCAGATGATAAGAGCAAATCTGTTGTCAATAACACAAATGTCCATCTCTTGCAGAGACTTTACTCTCCCTAGGCTTAATTTTCCCCACCCTTGAATCAACTTTAAAGGCTACTCCCACCCTTGTTCTTTTATCAAAAGGGGGAGATTCTGGACTAGCTAGGCTATTTCTTCCTCAACCTTGTTTTCATGTTTATGTTCGTCTTGAAAAAGTCAGAAACGAAAAAAAGACATAGCTATTCACATGAACACATTGATAATATATTCATGTTGATGTCAAGTTCCATTAACAATTTACAGGTCATCTTCATCTATAACATGTACATGGTTCACATTTTGTTTCAGTAGCCTTATATGAGGTTAGATTAAAAAGAAGAGCAAGGATAAAAGCAAAGTATCAAAAGTATGTAAGAGCATGTATATATAGTTAATGATGCAGATGTTGTCATGAAACAAAGTATGAGTCGTTGCATCATTGATCTTCCTATATATCAATAATGATCAAATAATCATGAGCTAGAACTTACTGAGATTACAAAGTTGCTTGCACCAGGTGCAACCTGCTGGGACAGGTACAGAAATGATACATGTCCTGGAGATGAAAATGAAACAATCCACCTGTCAAAATATTTTACACAGGCACAATGATTTCACAGTTTTTGATATAAGAGTAAGGGTGGGGAAGATGTAGCCTAGGTAGGCCAGAATCTCCCCCTTTTGATATAAGAACAAGGGTGGGGATTGGCGCTGATTGGCGGAGACGTCCGTCATCAGTAGATGAACTCTGACCCGTGTCAAAAGTTCTAGAGCGCTATATACCCATGGAGCTAGACCTAGAACTAATGCTAATGGTAACGTTAGTGAGCCAATGTACCCCCTCCCCTTCCGTTAAGTTAACGTGGTCTTAACGGGCCGTTAAAGGTTAACGGCACTTTGAGCAACAGGCTTTCGCTCTCTTAACGTTAATGGAACGTTAAGGACTAGTTAACGGTCCGTTAAAATTTAACAGGCTTTTGAATAACCTGGCCCTGGAAGTGAACGAGTTGCTATGCTAACGGTGAGTTTGTTTTATGCATTCAGTGTAGCATTTTGTGTCAAAAACAAATTATTATAGACATTTGAGATATTATATTTCAGGCTGTAAAAATGTAGACACTGAAGATATCAAGTGTATATTTATAGCTCTTGATTTGATCTATGAGGAATACATGGGCGACTTTTAGACAACATCCCTTCTAAAAAATAGCAAAAATGTTAAACAAAATTATATACAATTATTATAAAACGAAACAAACAATATGAACAAATGTACATTTTAAAAGATAAATATATGTTTTGATTATATCCAAAATTTGAAAAGATTATAGCATATGTTTTTAGAGATATAAGCATTTGAAAACAAGTGGTATGATTGTCATGGTGAACGCATTACGCAACAACTGTTTTAGCGTTGGTGAACGATTTACGTCATCGGCAGTGAACGCATTACGCCACAAATTTTTTGGTGTTTAGGTGTTTGCTTTTTTACGTTTCAGATAAACCTCTACAATGCAACCATACGCATGTAACTATTGTGTGCTTCTCAAACTTTTTGTGATGTCATTACGCATATGAAAGACGACACATTCATCAGAAAGAATCATTATGACTGACTGAGTTTAGTTTTACGCCGCTTTTAGCAATATTCCAGCAATATCACGGTGGGGGACACCAGAAATGGGCTTAACACATTGTGCCCATGAGGGGAATCGAACCCGGGTCTTCGGCGTGACGAGCCAACGCTTTAACCACTAGGCTACCCCACCGCCCCAGAATCATTATGAGAAAATTGAAGCTTTGTGA